AAAAGAACACGATGATGCATAACTCTTAGAAAAGTTTATTCAAACAAGGTACGAATCGATCGAATTTAACGTATGACAAGAAGGCTGAAGTTAACGATTCTGCCTATTCTTCTCATATTTTGAATATGATTGCATTGGGAAAAGCTAATAAATTGGATATCCAAGAACTTTGAGATAAATTGGCGGGCTTTTACGCTTAATTAAAATATTGTGGCGAAATAACCTATAACTTAAAAAAAGTTCCACTAGTTGGATTTTTTCTCTTTCTAGAGTTACAGAGTTCCACTAGTTGGAGTTTCAGTTTGTGCTCGTTTTCTCTGCTTCCGTCTCTTTTGTTTTGGTCTTTCCTTTTATGCGTTTGAGTTCTTTGATTTGTGAGTCTCCTTGTCTTGTGTCGTGGCGTTTTCTTTCTTGTGATCGCTCTAGAGTTAGGGGTCTGTGGCCATTGATGGAATGCACATTTACTTGCGATTATTGTTGGGCTAGGGTTTGCTAGTCTAATTATTGCTTTCCTTGTTGTAACCCTTTCCTTTTCAGGTATCTCATATCAACTCTGTTGGTCTCGAATCCCAATCAGTTAGGGTTTGGGTCAGTGACCCACCCAGGGTTAACGGTACAATGGAGGAGGAAATAGCGGCCAAATTCGGTAAATTTCATTTATCTGATAGGGAAAGAGTAGGGATTAAGCTTGCAGATACAGATGTTGAGAGTGGATTGAAGGATTGTAGCCTCAGTCTCATGGGTAAACTATTTGGGGAGAAAAGAGTCAATTTGGGGGGGCTGAAAACAACCTTTAACTCTCTCTGGAGAACCAAAAAACCGTTCACAGTCAGATCCTTAGGGGATAACATGCTCCAATTTTTATTCCAGACAGAGGAAGACAAAAGAAGAATCCTAGAAGGAAAATCTTGGAACTTTGATGGGCAGTACCTCTTGTTGAAAGAATGGAGTATGGGAAACAACGACTTTCGTACAGAAGAGTACAAGGTAGATATCTGGGTCCAGGTGCATAACTTACCATTGCACTGGTTATCTGTGGAGATAGGGCTAAAAATTGGTGGGGTATTTGGTGAAGTGAAAGACATTCTGACACCAGGAACGGGCAACAATGCTGGTAATGTTCTTAAGATCCTGGTCCAATTGGATCTTAATGAAGCACTGCCAAGAGGAACTACAGTGCAACTGGGCAAGGAAGTAGTGTGGGTGGACTTCAGGTATGAGCATTTGCAGAGTTTCTGCTTTTATTGTGGTTTTGTGGGACATGGGGACAGAAGTTGTGGAAAGAAGAAAGAAGACCTCAAGGGCAATGTGCTTAATCTGGGACAATATGGTGAGTGGCTAAGAGCCTCTGGGGGCTTTTCCTTTCAGTCTAGAAGCTTTAACTCTAGCCCTGTTAGTGATAATGTGGAGATGGGGGTTAATAGGGTTTGTAATGCGATGGGGGTTGTCATGACTAGTTTAGAGGAAGGTCAGGGAAGTGGGGTAGGGTTGAATAGTAAAAGGACTGAGAACCTAGAGTCTCCAAATGTTGGAGGTTCTAAGTCTGATGTCCATGATAATGGTAATGGGTTTCAAAATCTTACTCAAAGCCTTCCTCTTCTTCCTTCTCCTGAGCCTTTGGGTGACCAGGTTAGTGTTGCTCCCCTTACTCCAGAGGACCAACTTAATCTGGTGGATGTGCCTATTAATTCCCAGGCTGTCCCAGGTGGGAAAAAGAGAGGTATTAAGTCCTTTGTCAGACAGACCAGATCTGCCAAGCCTAAGCTCCCTGAGGACATGGCTATTGACATTGGCCTTAGTACTTCTGGACCTATCCTTAATGATAATAAAAAAAGAGCCTTAATTGTTTATGACTTGGATAATAATTTGAATGGTGTTTGTAAAAAGAAAAAAACTGAGTGTTCTGGGAAACTGATTGATCATAAGGTGGAGGAAACCAGCCATAACTGGTCCCAAGGTGATCAATGAAAGTTTCGGTGTGGAATTGTAGAGGTCTGGGAGGGCCCTCTACAATTTCCCAACTCAAGGAGACCATAAGGTCCCATCTCCCAGATTTTGGTTTTGTTTCTGAAACTAAAAAGAAAAAAAGTTTTGTTTCCACTGTTTGTAGAAATTTGAAATTTGCTGATAGATGGGTCTATGTTGAACCCAATGGAACTAGAGGAGGTATGCTCCTGTTTTGGTCTGATAGAGTGGTCATTGTAGACATTGAATGCCACTATTTTTGCATTGAAGTGTGTTTTCAGCTTGGGGATAATCCTGATAAATTGTGGGCTACCTTTGTGTATGCCAGTACTGAGTCTCAGGAGAGGACCTCTCAGTGGGGTTTTCTGCTCAGACATAAGCTTAGATGGGGGGATAAATGGTTGTTAGGGGGGGATTTCAATGATTTGTGTTCTAATGATGAGAAGCAGGGAGGTAGAATCAGGGATGAGGCTAGTTTTAATAGTTTTAAGGGGTTTATTAGGGATATGGGAATGGTGGAACCTAAGTTTGTTGGTCATCCATTCACTTGGTCCAACCTTAGGCAGGGTGAGGAGTTTGTAGAAGAAAGGCTGGATAGGTTTTTCATGTCCCCAGACTGGTTCATTGATAGCCCTCAAGTTTTGGTTAAGCACATACCCTTGGTGTCTTCGGATCATCATCTAATTCTGCTATGCCTTGAGGGGGACAAGAGCAGGTTAAAAGAGAGATTTGTATTTGATCAGAGGTGGGCCCAAATGGAAGGTTTTAAGGAAACTGTCACTAAGGCTTGGAATGAGAGAGTGGAGGGTGCAGAGTTATACAGTATGCAAGGCAGAATTAGGAATGTTAGACTGGCCTTACTTGGATGGAAGAAGCTCAATGTTACCAATTCTGCCCACAATATCAAGCAATGCAAAAACAAATTAGAGCACATGGGGAAGTTGGGTGGAAGCAGAGATTGGGAAGAATGGAGGACCTGCAAGAATTCTCTTCATGAGGCATACAAGGAAGAAGAGTTGTACTGGAGACAAAAATCCAGAATCTTGTGGCTGAGAGCTGGTGACAAAAATTCTAAGTATTTTCAGGCATCAGTGAAACAGAGGAGGAGAAGTAATGGTATTACAAGTCTTCATAGAAGTGATGGATCTGTCTGCAGGAATGAGCAAGAGAATCTGGAGGAAATTCTTAAACACTATGATGAGCTGTTCAAATCCTCTAATCCCCACTCAGATGCTTCAGTGTTGGAAGGAATTCCTCAATCAATCACAGTTGAAATGAACCAAACCCTAACTAAACAAGTCACAAGGGATGAGATCAAGAGAGCTCTGATGGAGATGGAACCAAACAAGGCTCCAGGTATTGATGGAATGACTCCCTTCTTTTTTCAAATTTCTTGGGACTTGGTGAATGAGAAAATTTGTTTGGCTGTGCTTAACTTCTTTAGCTCTGGTAGAATGCCCAAAGCCATAAATCACACAGTTATAACCTTGATTCCCAAAATTAAGAACCCATTGAAAATCAGTGATTTCAGACCAATTAGCCTTTGTACAGTGATCTACAAAATCATTTCCAAAATTATTGCCAATAGATTAAAATCTGTGCTTAGCTTTTGCATTTCTCCTAACCAATCAGCCTTTATCCCAGGCAGGCAGATTCTAGACAATGTTATAATTGCAAATGAATGTGTGCATTTCATGAATGGCAGAAGGAATGGCAAACTCAGGTTAATGGCACTCAAACTGGACATGGCCAAGGCCTATGACAGGGTTGAGTGGTCATTCCTGGCTAGTGTGTGTAGGAAAATGGGTTTCAGTCATGTTTTCATTTCTTGGGTCTTAGCATGCATGGTCTCTACTTCTTTTTCCTTTAATCTCAATGGTCAAAACAAAGGCTTTATCACTCCTTCCAGGGGTATCAGACAAGGGGACCCTCTGTCCCCTTATTTGTTCATCATCTTGTCTGAAGCCTTGTCTAACCTAATCAAAACAGCTAGTCAGTCTGGTCATTTTCAAGGGCTTAGAGTTAGTAAAAATTCTCCTGTTGTGTCTCATTTGTTCTTTGCAGATGATGCTATTATTTTCTGTCATGCATCTTTGAATCATGCTGTTGTGATCAAGGAAATTCTAGCTAAATATTGTGAAGCCTCTGGTCAAAGTGTTAATATGGGTAAATCTTCTGTTTTCTTTTCCAGAAACTCTCCTGAGCACATTAAAACTGAAATCTGTCTGACCTTGAGTGGAATTTCTGTTGTTAGGTCCTCTAATTACTTAGGTCTTCCACTTGGAATAGGCAGGTCAAAAAAAGAAACTTTCAAATTTGTGAGTGAGAGAGTGCTTGAGAGAATTACCTCCTGGAAAAACAAATTTCTCAGTGAAGCTGGTAAGGAGGTGTTAATCAAAACAGTGATTGATGCCCTCCCTACTTATGTAATGGCTTGTTTCAAAATTCCTGTGGCTGTGTGTGATCAGATTTGCAGGCTGGCAGCTGACTTTTGGTGGGGTACTTCTGAAGGTGGGAAGAAGAGAATGCATTGGATGAAATGGGAAAAGATAGCAAAACCAAAGGAGTTGGGTGGCCTGGGGTTCAGGAACCTTAAGGCATTTAATGAGGCTCTACTGATTAAACAACTCTGGAGGTTGCTGACCAAACCTAACCTGCTGGTAAGTAGGTTCATGAAGGGTAGATACTTTCCTGATCAGAAACTCGAAAATGTCAAACCCAAGAATAATGACTCTTGGATGTGGAGATGCTGGATGGGGGCTAGGGAGGGGTTAGCTTTGGGAGCTAGATATCAAGTGGGTGATGGCAAGGGGATCAAGGTGTGGGAATCTCCTTGGCTGCCTAGGACACCAACATTCAAACCTAGCTGCAACTTTGAATCTGATAAAAATAGAATTATATGGGTGAGGGACCTCATGCTGGGTAATGGGAGAGAATGGGACACTGAACTTGTCATGCAAACATTCAATCAGTTTGATGCAAAGATGATTCTGGAAAC